TTCCCCTGCGCCCCCTCCCTGCGCCCTATTTTTTCCTGCTGTCGCCGCCGCTGCTACCCCTTTGCGCTCCGTTATGGCCACGGAGCCGCCATCCCTGCTCCGGCTGGAGGCGCCCTGCACCCCAGAAAAGCGGACCCCACTGGCGAGCGATGCCGCCCCCGAAGGCACCCCGCAGTCGGCAGCCGGTGGGCTGCGTTTCCTTAACGGCTGCGTGCCGCTCTCGCATCAGGTGGCCGGGCACATGTACGGGAAGGACAAAGTGGGTGAGTGAGGCTGGCGCGGGGCTCGGCGCTCTTTCCGCCTCCGCGAGCCCCCTGGCCGGCCGAGGCAGACCTGCACCCGCGATCCCTGCTGGGCAACCCGGGGAGCCTCGCCACCCGTGGTCAGAAGGGGTCTGAAAGTGGGGCGACCTCTAGGGTGTGGGGGATCGGGCTTTGGTGCTCGGGTGGTGGAGAGAGGCGTGCCTCGTCTCCCCAGGGAGGGTGGGTGTTGATTGGAGCCGGCGTTCTTCGTAAAAATAAGGAACTTCGTTTTTACTGGACAGGGAAGTAAATTCCCCCTCGAGCCCAAGGTCTGTTTATTATAGGCGGGTAACTATTGCAAAAGAAAGGAATGAAATGCAGATGATGCTAAATTAGTATGTCTCTGTGGGGTGCAGCTGCATAACTGGAGGGAAAGAAAAAAAAGGGTGGCGGGGTGTCTTGCTTTATCCGGATCTCTCCCTGCGCCTAAGGAGGATTTTTATTATCTCCTGGGTTTCTCTGGGAGGCGTGGTGTTCCAATAGCGTAGAACCTTGGATCCTCAGTAGGAAATACACCCTGCTATTGTACTAGAATGTTACAGAGATAAAGCACTGGTTTTTCCCTGTTTATCTTCATAAGACTGTTTTCATGGCCTTTGTAATACATTCTGTGAGTTTGCGACTTTTAAGGCACAATACAAGGCCTCAGTTTAGGAGGTGTAATTCTCTTAGCATGTTCAGTGGTTCCTGGGCCACTTACGTGGACAATCTGATGGATGCAAATGAGAGCATTGTAGATCTTTGACCGGGAACAACCACTACAGACGATTTGGTTTTTACTGGTAAAATAATTCAGATTTAGCCTGGTAAGAAAGCGTTGACATTTTTAGATTCGGTAACTGAGGCCAAGCCTGGTTAAGTGACAAGCCTAGAGCCACAGCGGCTGCTATGCGTGACTTGGATTTTCCTTGAACATTGCTGTTTTTTCCACCTTGTATTGTGCTTGCTGAAAGTACACAGACTGAGTTTTGAGTACAGTCAGGAAATGTTGTAAGAGTGAAAATTGACAGTCTTTTATAGTACACTGACTTAGGAAACAACATAGCCAAGGTACTTCTCACAGACATTTCCTCTTATGTGTCGTGCCTGTGAATGAGAGTTTGAAAATACTCAGGGAGTCACTGTTAATAAGTACGAGCTTATTGATGTACAGTAATCATTTGTGAGGCTAATGTTCCTAAAAGTGTAGTGATTGATTTATATGTAAAGGAGGATAAACCAAAATAAATAAAAGCTGTGGTAATTGTCACAAGAGTATAACCATTGCTTATCAAAGTATGTAACAGTGATCCTATCAAAGTTATGTCTGATTAATTACAGCTGTATGCTGAATGTGCCTTAAAAGTACAGTACAGTGTGGTTACTTACCCCAGTTGCCTAAAGGTGTAATTTAGATTTCAGAGAAAATAGTCTTTATTATAATTTAATATAAATTATACATTTATATATAAAAACACATTTAATATAAAACTAAACCTTTTAAATTTTTTATAAGGTTTTTTGGACAAAGGACTCTTTCACATCACCACAATAAAATGCTTCAATTTGTTCATTTAGATTCTCAGATACACAACTGTGCCTATATTGTTAGTACTGTAAAAGGACACCTGAATGCTGATAATCTTCCCTGTTCATAAAATGGATAACAAAATGGTTAGCAGTTCAAAGTTCAGCAGTTTATGTCGCTCTGCTGTCATAAACAGTCATAGTTTAAAGTACATTGTTTAGCTCATACTTTGCTTTGTCAACTGAAGTGATTTTCAGTACACTTTGTTAAAGACAGTGGGGATGTTCCTTTTTCATTTTTTATTACAATTAAGTAAGCAATGTCTTTCATTTTAGATTTGATATCTTACTTATGTCCATAAAAGGATTGTTGGTTTTGTTAGTCCCCAAAGTCTGGGAGGCTGAAATAGGAAGATTGCAGGTTCAAGCCCAGCTGGCATCTTAAAGGACTTAATGCTCTGTGCAAAGGTCCTGGGTTTAATCTCCAATACTATAAAAAAAGGGGGGAAAAAGAAAGATGTCACACTTGATAAACAAAGGTGCTTGAACAGAAAAGTGCTTTTTGTTATAGCTAAGTAACAAGGGTATATTAGTGTTTCTCTTATCAGAGTTATATGCTCCAGTGAAATCGTAATTCATCAAAATACATTTAAATCTCATAAAAATACAGTTTGGGGTTTTGAAAATTTTGAAAATATTACATAGTTTTTCAGGAAAATAATTCAATTTAATGCCTTTCCCTGGCTCTCATTCTCCCAGGGTCATTCACTGCTAACAATTTCTTCTTAGGCTTTTGTTTCTGGGCACATACATAAACATATTAAAATAATTCTATTTTCAGACAGAGATATACTAGCAACTTTTTCAAAATATATCATATGGTATAGTACCTAGCTTTTTTTTTAAAGGATTTGTAGGTACTCCTTGATTTAAGATACATTTATGTTATGATGTTACTATTGTAAATTGAAAATGCATTTAATACTCCTAACCTACAAACAAAACAAAACTCCTAAGCTAGGAAACAGCACAGCAGCATAGTATACTGTTGTCATCCTGTGATCCTAGTGGCCTGGGAGCTGGGTTCTCCACTGCTCAGCAAGGCAGGAGTGTTAAGCTGTGTATCCTTAGTCTGGGAAAAGTTGAAAAACTCAAAATTTGTAGTGCGATTTCTACTGAATGCCTTTTGCTTTGGCACCATCATAAGATTACCATTGGAGTAAGTTGGAAACTGTACTAAATTCTTTTTGAAAGGTATTATGTCTACAGAGTAGCTATATCAAAATTTGCTTAACTTCCTCTAGTGGTAGATTTTTAGACTTTCACCATTATTTTTTTGTTATAGTGTGTTAAACGTTCTTATATGTTGCAGAATACCTTCCACAATACTTGATTATTTCTGTAGAAAAGTTTCACAAAAGTGTAATAGCTATCAATTTAAGCTCCCAAAGCTGACTAAAATTAGCATAAAACATTTTTAATGTTTAATACATGGCATTAGTTTCTTTTAAAAGATTCTAAAGTTTTAAACAAGAGGTTCAAATCTGGAATTTGTATCCTGATAGAATTTAGGAGGTAGAATGTGGGGGAAAGCAAATATTTTCTGTTATAAATAATGTGTTAAACATTCTTGTATGTTATATCATACCTTCCACAATGTTCAATTATTTCTTTAGGAAGGTTTCACAAAACCTTAAATTAATAACCAGTAACTTATAACTATCA